ATGCATTCGCCTAATTCTCTGGCGAATAATAGAGTACAATCTCATATGCGACCGGAGCCATCTCATAAATTTCCTTCATGTAGTCGTTCCATTCCGCTATAGTGTATTTTATAGCAAGCAGATTGGAGCAAACTCCCCAAAACTTGTGTGTCCTTTGCTTTCATTCCCAAATCCTTTAGCTTTGTTCTAAAATTTTCAACTAGGTGCAGAACACATCGTGAGTGAATTGCTTCAGGGAAATATTCTCGAACGGCTTCTCGAATCCCCTTGTCGGCATCAGAAATAATTACCAATTGGTGGGGAGGATTGTACGGGTCTAACCTTTCATACAGTATGGACCACAAGCCTTGAAGGAACCATCTCCAATAATCAACATTTTCCTGATCACATATACAATACGCAACCGGAAATATCCCTTAGTCTCCGTCGTATGCTATGGCGCTCAGGAGCATGCCTTTGTATCTGTCTTTCAAAAAGGTCCCATCCAAAAATAATAGGGGTCTACACCCATTTAAGAAACCAACGATGCAAGCGGCATAACATATAAACAGTCTTTTGAACCTTCCTTCATTCTGGTCAATGCATATGTAGCATCCTGGATTCGTTTCCTTCACCATTTGCTCATACCTGTACAACAATGTAGCTTCTGCTCACCTTTTTTCATTTCCAAGACAACTTTAAGAGAAAAGTTAAGGCGATAAGACGAAAATACCCTTTTTACCCGTTCCCCCCGATACTGTCCGCCTTCTCTCTCTCTCTCTTCTCTCTCTCTCTCTCTATCTTCTTCACCGCAAACCTCCATTAGCTTGCGAACCCATTTTCAAAACCCTGGTTTCACTCAAGCAACAGACTGAAATCTATTTTGAAAATGCCCCATCTTAATTGATCATAAGCCTCATAACTATCACCATACATATCCTCCTGTGCTCTTTCTTTGCCCCACCATATCTTACTGTATTCAAGTCTCAATCCATATCGAGTGAGGAACTCCTTTTGCACATCAATTGGTCGGATTTCAGGTCGCGCCTTTAATACCGGTCGCAATTGGGCTGCTATGAATTTACGAGATGCTCGTAATTGCCCTGACAAGTTAGCATGTTGTCCACAACTGTGTTCATTCACAAACCTTTTGATTTCAATTCTTTTCCCATACTTAACAGGAGATGCAAAGAGCATCCAAGGGCATCCATATGTCTCCTTATATCGACAACATACTCGGATACGTTTGGGTTCGTTCTTTACAAATTCATAGTCAAATTTTTTCGCCATGGAATAGTACTGCAAAGCAAGTCTCAATTCGTTTACAGTCTCAAATTGTTGCCCCTTTTCAGTTAATGTTGTGTGCCACCATTGAGGAATGCTGGAAGTATTGTTGAGAATATCATCAGCTCTCATTACAAACTCACCAGACGGGAAATCATTTTGGATTCTCTCTGAATTGGATGCATTTCCTGGAGGAGGACGGCTATATTCTGCATTCAAAGAGGCATCACTACTGCACAAATTAATCAACCAGTGAGATATCATGCACAATATACAGCGTTCAGAACGCCCCTCGGTGTCTTTTGCTACACCGTGATGCCTTTCGGTCTAAAGAATGCAGGTGCCACGTACTAGCGAGCAATGACTAAGATTTTCTAAGAACATCTCAGGAAAACAGTCGAATGCTACGTTGATGATTTGGGGAGGAGGACGACTATATTCTGCATTCAAAGAGGCATCACTACTGCACAAATTAATCAACCAGTGAGATATCATGCACAATATGTTATATTATCTTCTGCTAATTTAAGTTAACAGCAGTAGGATCAAAGGTAACATAGTACAACAAAAGTTAACTAACTGGGTGTAAAATTAACCATTTTTCGTAAACCTTAACATAGTACAACAAAAATTAACTAACTGAGTGTAAAATTAACCATGTTCCCATGACAATTAACATGTTCATGTAAAGGTTAACATATCTCTTGGAAAATTAACCTATTAGATGAAGAGTTAACATCTAACCATCAGAGATGACAACTATTTTTTCCCAAGTTAGCATCGAAACCTAAAATCACAATTGGATTATCATCACACATAGACCTGTTCCTGACAGAGTTCATTGTTTACTTACAAATCAATAATAACTTACATTGAGGGATTTGATGCCCATAAGGGATGGTTGAAAGTTGAAGAAAAAAATAACAATGTTTACATCACACAAAACCCAATGTTATAAAGAGTTCATTAATTACTTACATTTCCCTAATCTGATTTTTCCTTGAAGTGGAACACTCTACATTAACAGCAGCTTGCATGTGAATCTCCGTACAACCAATATTTCGATTGTGATCCAACATGCACTTCAAATCATCATCGTTGTCAACTGAAAAACTGAGGTTGGGGTGCCTCTCAGATTTAAATATAAAGGATAAAGTTTTTTAGGTACTTTCAATCTTTCAGACACATCAAATTGGAGTTCATAAAAGCTTGTTGTCGAACTAAGCTTCACGAATATGGCATTCTCGCCTAAAGACACCATGCAAATCAAGTCATTGGCGGCCATTAGGGGTGGTTGAAAGTTATGAGGACAGTTATGAAGGCAATTATGAGGAGTTGAGGAGTAATTGAGGGGATTTCAGGTGCAAAAGGGTTGTTGACAGTTGAAGAAAAAAACCCTAATTTCATTAATGAGAGAGTGAGAGATAAAACTAACCAATTTATAACAAAGGATGAGAAGCAGACCTTAAAATGGCGGGAGCCCGCGCTTTTCCCCCGCTTTCCCCCGTCGCTTCGCCATAAATGCGTTGGACGAGAGATCAGGGAAGAAGAGAACCCATTCAGCCGGTTTCTAGTGAGAGGGATGAGGGCATTTTAGGAAGGTAGCAACAAAATACATCCACTAAATGTATACATATGGGCTTTTGGGTCTGGGCCACAATTTTCACATTTTTTGGGGCTGAAGGCTAAGGCAGATAATTGGTGGGGCTGGGCCACATCCAATTTTTTTGGGGGGGCCTTGAAACATTTTCCCCTAATTTAATTTATGCAATTTTATTATGTGGCTCGACTTGAAAATGTATCTTAATTGCTATTTGGCAATTAAATCCATCCTTCAACACAATTGTGTTGAGTAGTTTTCAAACAGAGGATAAGATAATTAGAAGAAATGATTTAATTAAAAAAGAAAAATGAAGATACACATTACAATTTAATTTTATGTGTATTGTCATTTGATGATTTAGAATGTTCTAGAATTAGAAAGGACAAAAGGCAAGATAGAAAATAAATGTGAGTTCCTATTCTCATGTCATAATTTTGAAGCTTCTAGAAATAAGAAATGAAAAGAAAGAAAATGGGGGAAATATCTCCCTTGTAAATTTACAGTTTTACCCTCCAAATTGCAATATGAATGAGGAAAATGTCCACCACTCATTAAACTTTCAGTACCCTTACTATGTACATTACATAGTAGTATAAATTAAGAGTGTTGCTACGGGGACCAAGTGAGGGGACATGTGAGGTGTCCCCTCCCTATTGCATAATGAGTTGGCATAGCTAACTTATTATGCAATAGGGAGGGGACACCTCACCTGTCCTCTCCCTTGGTCCCATATTTTTGGTCCTTAAGTTATTTTTCATAAATTAACTATAAGCCTAGCTGCACTCTTTATTTTAGGTGTATTTTAATTATTGAGTGTAATATTTAGTTTTTGAATTAGTTTTATATTTCATAATGGATTTATTTACAAATTTTTTGTAGTTAATGTATGTACAAATAAACAACATCTATTAGTTTTAGAGAGTTCTCATATTCATGGGCTACATTATCGGATTGGTATTAAAACTACCATCTAATAACCAGATTGATATTAAAATTAACTCCAGCGAACGACAATGTATTAAAACTAGGGGTGCATTCGGTCCAGATACGGCTCGGATATGATGCTTATCATATCCATATCCGTTTACCCATCTCAGATACGGATACGAATACAGATATACCTCGGTAAGAAAATTTTATAACTATATCCGCTAAAATCGGATACGATTACGGATATACATGCCGATATATAAGCGGATATGCATGCAGATACAAAACAGATATGAGAAAACTATGTCCATTATAATTGAAAAGTTAAGATTAGACATCTTAATCATCAAAATTAACCACAAATCCATAATCTAAGAATCGAAACTATCCGTAAGAGTATGACTAATATATATTCGGATATTTCGGATACGGATACGAATACTTCACTACAAAACCATATCCGTAACCATATCCTATCGGTTATAGATTTGAGTAACCATATTCGTATCCTAACGGATACGGTTACTGATATTTTCTCGGATACGGATACGGTTTAGCACCCCTAATTAAAACTTACACGATGTGATAAATTGGCCCAAAAAATATGCCAACCAACCAACCAACACCTGATACAAACATTATATGCTTTCATGTGCTTACATCAAATTCGCTTCAAAAAGAAAAATAAAGGGGTAAAAGGACAGGGTGTTCCATGGCAGCGGAGGGAATCAGGGAGTCAAAGAAAACCTACCGACCAACATCTATACAACTGTTATCCTCATAAACATCATGCATGTCCGTCATTAAATTAGCGCAATACAGGTAGAGTTGAAGAGTAATGAACTGATTGCTCACATTATTCTTTCCTTGCTGTATTATATATGTAGTGAGGATGGATCCACTGGATATTTTCATGTTTATCCATTGTTCGTTGGATTCGAGCTTCAGCACACAGAATCAAACAGTAGGGAACGAGGATTCAACTGAAGCCCATGCAAGAACCGTGAGAGGCTTATCGCAATAACGAAGGCAAGACGAGATCAAAGCGCAAACAATTCAAAGGTAACACGTAACAATCGTTGCAATTGCACATTGGTGCTGGTGAATTTAGAAATCCAGGGTAAGAGCATTATGTACCCACCTTCGATCCTGCTTGCAATACATGCATGTTAATTAACCACCGAACGTAGATGAATCTCTTTCGCATAGAAAGTTCCTTGCTATTTTTCTTGTAATACAAGCTATTAGACATAAAATATCTACTTCAGAAAGACAAGTAGCAGCACCTCCCTATGGAGCTAACACAGTTCAAGTCAAAATGCTTCAATCACAACTTAGCGAATACTTGTGCTAGTTTACATAATACACAACAAGATCAGACGTAAAACAAGAAGTGTGCTAATTTCGGAAATTGTAATTGGCTATTACAACAAATTGACTGTTTTTTTTTTTTTTTGTCACAACTTCACTAAGATACAAATTGCACAAATTGGCAGAAAATTGAGAAGCAGCTTTTTCTGATCCAAAAATGCAAGAGCTGCTACTTCATTAACACTGATTTACCAGTCCAGGCTAATGTCCCTTGAAACGTAAAGATCATCAATATATTTTATTATGGGAGTGGAGGCAACAATGTATCTCCTCATCTCCTTTTCTACTGTTTCATCTGCAATAACAATTGTAGCATACGAGATTTCAGAAACATGGATTGAAAAAAAAAAAAGTACAAATAGAAATGAAAAATAAATTAGCTGACAGATTTTATCAAAGTCATCTTTTCCCCCCTCTACCTACAGAGGCTCTTTTTTTAGAAATTATTGAAGTAACAGGGATGTTTTTCAATTTTAAGAGAATGACATCGTCTAACTTACATTGAGGAACAAAGTCCTAACTTAAATATAAGTGAAAGAAATTTATAACTAAATATTGCTACAGGAATTAATTTCAAATACCAATTCTTCAAGCAATGATTATAAGTCCTTTTTTTTTGCTTATATCTTAAACATTGCTATAGAAGCTAATACTGTTTGCTAGTTCTTTACACTTATGTACATTTAGCTTGAAGATCGTTTCTCATCTTTTTCCACTTAATATGTTTAAATCTTGCTTTCAGTACCACAATAGCATCTCTAATATCCACAGACAAGCCAGTGGAGGGTGCTTCTATTTTCCTAACACTCAAAGCAAAGGATACAGCATATCATCAGATGAAACCAATGAGCTTGCAAAAATAAGTTCTTTTAACTCCATTGGATATTCTAAACTTAATTATTGAATTTCACTCCACTGTAAAGGAGAGATGCATAAGAAGTTGCATAGCTTAGGCAATTCTGTAGTTCCATCTAAACATTATAGAAAATTTGCCAATTAAGAAAGAGGAAAGTGATTATTCCAACAAAATAAGCAAGCCAACAGCAGGAGAACATAGGATCATGCAAACCAAGGTTTGAAGTATCTGCAGATATCATATCAAATTTTAAGCATGCCAACCCAATCCAAACGAAACCTACCTATACCATTGTTATTGGTTAATAACAACTAATACAGTTTGATATTGGCTAATGACAGCAGATAGACAAGAAAATCTTAAGTATGAAGTACCAATATTTTTTTGACAGTCATATTGTGGAAAATAACAAAGAAATCTATGTAGAAAACTTGTGTACCACCAAACTTGGGTAACCTACATTCGATACTTCCGGTCCGCAAGCACTGACACTCGTGAAATGTTCCAAACCGACGATATAAATTATAAGATGATACCGACAGGGAAATTTCAAAACTATCGTAAAACACCATTATTTGGAAAGGAGTTTGGGATGTCCAAGAATTCGAAAATATGGTTAGGTAAATATTATGCTGTAAAAGGCAGAAGACCCTAGGATATGGAACAAACTGATATAAAATCATGTTCATTCAGCAAGATTAACGAAAAGAAGACTATTATATGTTAAGGAAAGGTAAATATGGAGATATAAAGAAAGAATTGAATATCAAATCAAAAGGTTCTAAAGAATAACTTTTTTTTACTAAAATGAACTGCTTCACGAAATGACATACTAACCAGTTTCATTTAGCCTCAATAACAGTTGCTCTTGTTGGAAGAAGCGTACATCCCTCGCACTGGACAGCTTTCCTAATAGTCCACGTGTGATATGGTGCACAAACTTGCGTGTAAGCAGTTGAGGCAGCATCTCTTAATGAGCAATCACTGAAAGGAAGAATTGTTTTAGATAACCTTCATAAACTGGAAAGCAGAATGCAAATAGAACCCTGCAAAAAGGATCTTATTGATAATATTTTATATAATGAATTGTGCGCAATGCATCATTCCCTTATGTAAGGTCCCTTTTCATCTTCTCTCCATGTTTGTGGTATAACATCAACACGTGGATGCTAGTACAAACACACTACCAATATATAAAACACAATGGTCTGAAGGGAAATATATATAAGGCTTCTTACTCATCTAAATCCAAAGCCGCTTTCTATCAATAAGCAACAATGGACATGATGAGATATACAGTTGATATCTACAATCTAGGATGCTTGTTTCCCATGCTTTTATGAGGAACAGGACTGCAAGTTTGAATATCAATACTACTTTCTACCAATGAGTACAACAAGAAGCATGATGCGATGTACAGTTGAAAGTTAGCAATTTAGGATGCTTATTAGCAAAGGTTTTATGAGGAAAGAACTGCAAGTCAAATATCTATTTTTTTGTAAAAATTATATAATTTTCTTTCAAGTGTACTTTAATAATGTTGAGCATGTGCCTTTGCAAGTGTCAATAGAAAATATTTTGTAAAAAGATATGTTACATGCATTAACATAAACAGAATATGCAACATTTGGAGGTCTTCTGCACCAAATATCTCCAACGCATCCTCTTCGGCAAGAATATCTCAATGGTAAAATTTTGAAGCATCATATATAGTAGAATAGGGTTTTGCTTACCATCACCACCATAAATGATGTATAGTAGACCAGGATTTTGCTTACCATCACCACCATGAACCAGATTGCCTCATATATATTAGATTAGGAATTTATTTACTATCAACAGCACAAATAGCAGTGATATAACAGGAGAATGATAGGCTCAAAGTGAATTCAGTCACCTCACCTACTGACCTCTCGGATTTAATATGGAAAAAGCAACCAATCCATAATTAATTTTTTTATTGATTTACTAGTACAAATATGATACCATGAATAATCGCTAAAAGACAGATGAAATGTTACTGTTATTCCTCATTACCAAAAATATCCCTGTTCCTTCTCAACGAAACATGCAAAAAGCTTTTGCATCTAGCCTTTGAACAATTAAAAATTTAAGTACAGATAAGTAAACTGAAGAATAAATATAAAACTTGAATGAGGAAATATTGTCAGCTATAATATTTTATGTAACATCATTTCACAATTTTTTAAATTGACAAAACATTCAGCTCAGATTTTAGGGGTATATATGCAAAAATCCCATCACCATATTGAAGCATGTTTTAATTCTTTCAACGAAAAGTTTTAGAAGCTTACAAGAATTAGTTATATGAGTTTCTAGATGCTTTGGATGAGGAACATCTCTACAAGAAGTAAAATCCTAAAATCCAATGCTAAGCATACTAAATTATTTCTAACTAGGATTTATGTATGTCAGGAATGATCCATGATTGGAGTCTGTTGATTCTCATCCCAAATGGAAATATAATTTGAATGATAATTTTAAACAAGGGGGAAATGTAGTTAGGATTTGTCTGTAGTAACTAGTAGTAGGCAAGAAGAATTTCCAAAGTGGGTAGTTGACATAGCAAAGACATCATCCTCCCAAGTAAGAGCTTTAGAGTTCAATTTCACCATCCGTGAAAGAGGCTCTCAAGGGAACTTATACCAGATAATAGGTTGGTACATGATACAGGGAGATGTCACATGCCTGTGGATTAGATGGTGCTTAAAGAAGATGACACCCTTGTTAGCAAAAAAGAAAAAATAATAAAGGAAAATTTATAGTAGGGAGATAACAAAGCATATTATGCCCATGTGGCATGGAATGCAGTTAAAATTATAGAAAGGTTGAGTTAGTATAACTTGCAAAAAAAAGGTACAAAAATCTGAACGAACATGTTCCTCGCAGTTATCAAATAGGGAAAATTTTTGTGAGAGAAAATTAACCTTTTTAATGAAAAATGACAATCATGTATGAGGAAAATAGAGTAGGTAATTAAAAGATATGACACATGAGATGAAGGCCTGTAAAACTACCTAGAAGATAGGAAGTTTTCGAACAAAGCTTTTATTAGATCAAGACCCTGCCTAACTCTCCGCAAATGACGTGAGAGGCTTCCTGGCTTTTTGACTGAGTCATTTGCAACATCACAGTCTAATATACTGCTTAAAGTATCAAACGTCTTTGATGCTTCCAATAGGTCGTTTACCTGGACAGATTTATTATCAAAAAATAAGTTAGAAAATCCAACTGCATCACTTGGTACTTATTTGAAGTATAAAATATACATGTTTTGGGGACTTATGGGCTTTTCTCTGCATTTACCCTCCAAATTATAGGAATCACCCGTCACATAGTTGCTGATCTGCCCCAAATTGTTTCCATTCCCCCAATTTTATCTCCAACTTAAATCTTGTTAATTTTTTAACATAGTTTTAACTTTCTTTATTTTATTTATTTTAGAGGAAACATCAGCTACAAATTAAATCATAGATTACTATACTATTGAATGATTTAAATTTAGCACCCCTGTCATCGTAGTTGCTGTTCTAGCCCAAATTTTTTCATTCCCCCAATTTCATCTCCAACTTAAATCATGTTAATTATTCAACAATGTTTTAACTACTTTTTTCTGTAAGAAACATCAGCTACAACTACAATTACAATTATCTCCCTATTTTTGATGTTTTTGAAGAGGTAAACATCAGCTGCAACCCAAAAAAGCCTCCGATAATGGATTCACTGTTCTGTTGTCAGAACCAAACAACACAACAAAACTTCATCTTTTCACATTGATTTGCCATCCAAAGCCGCAGCTTTCTCAACATTAGGGTACCAAAAGTGCAAATAAACCCTAATTATCAATCAATCAATCAAGAACGATGAGAGATTGAGTGAGAAAAGCAATCACCTTTGAGACATACTCATACTCGGCAAACTTGAAGGCGATCCCAAGGGAGCTGAAGAGGACGGAGACGAGCGCGCAGGCGTCACAGAAAGTGCCGAGGCGCAAATTCTCGTTGCTCTTCAACGCCATCGCCAGATCCTCGAACGCCTCGGCCACCGACGAGAGCGGGGTGGCGCTCTCCTTGAACGCGTCGTCGGAGGACGAACAGCTGTCGAATTCGTCCGCCATTGTTGATTGCTCAGCTATCCCCCAATCAATTGAGATTGAGATTGAGATTGAGGAGAGGAGACATGTTGAAATCTGTTGAGTATGGGATTAGGGTGAGGCTGAGTTTCTTGATTTTGGTCAGATTTCGTGTGGAGAGGAGAAGGTAGACAGCGAAGAAGAAGGGGATCCATTGAGCTGCAAAGCATTTTTTAAGGCGGGAGGAAAGGAGAAGGGAATCTTAAAAACAGAACATATTCACGAGGTTTTTTTTTCCCGAAGATTCGAGAGCGCAAGGCTAAAATTTTGGGTTTAACTACTGAATGTAGCCGTTATGCTACGGAAACTTTGGTCATATGAGCTGGGAAGAACGTGTCCCGCGACAAAATGAACACCAGTCCCATGTAAACATTGTGAAAGTATTTTTATTATAAAATTGAGCTTTGCTACACTGACGCAAAATATAAGACCGATAAAGTGACATGTGAAGTGTCCATCTCCTATTGGATAATGAGCTGGTCATCATTAATGATGACCAGCTCATTATGTAATAGGAGGGAGACACCTCACTTGTCCCTCCTATTGGTCCCATATTTTGGGTACTTGGAGAATTTTTCTATAAAATTCCCCAAGCACCCAAAATATAGGACCAATAGGGAGACAGGTAAGGTGTCCCCTCTTATTGCATAATGAGCTGATCATCATTGATGGTCAGCTCATTATGCAATAGGAGGGGGACAACTCACTTGTATTCCCTGTTGATCCTATATTTTGGGTCCCTATAGTAAAATGGACAAATTTTCAAAACCAACCCTTTTGGTTTTTTATTCGTAAAAAACGACCTATTTTAGTTTTATTTGCAAAAACTGACCTGGTTTCAGCCTCAGCGCTGAAACCAGGTCGGTTTTTGAAAAAAAAGTTTCCGAAACTTCACGGGAGTTGAACTCCCGTGAAGTTTAGCAACTTTTAATTAAGCTGCTAAACTTCACGGGATTTCAACTCCCGTGAAGTTTCACAGTTAAAAAAAAATTTTGAACTGTGAAACTTCACGGGAGTTGAACTCCCGTGAAGTTTAGCAGCTTAATTAAAAGCTGCTAAACTTCACGGGAGTTCAACTCCCGTGAAGTTTCGGAAACTTTTTTTCAAAAACCGACCTGGTTTCAGCGCTGAGGCTGAAACCAGGTCGGTTTTTATAAATATTTTAAAAATATGTCGTTTTTTACAAATAAAAAATCAAAAAGATTGGTTTTGAAAATTTGTCCATAGTAAAACTCATTTTTGTATTAGCATTCGAGAGTAATAATTGAAACTAACATAGATTTATTCATGATCCTAACACACTGGTGATTCCATATGAGAATGCCCGTTTTTTTTTCTTGGGTAAATGTTTAATGTACTTTGCTTGTATATCTTCTTTTTGACTTAAAATAGTTTAATAATTGGGTACACTGTGATAATCTATGGTAAGTTTGGCACATAGAAGAACAATCCCTGCAAATAATAATAATAATAGTTGTAGTAGTAATAATAATAATAATATTTTACATGGATATTCTTCTTACTAGGGGTGAAAAAGGAAATAATTTATTTCCAGAATAACTACAAACTCGATGATTTCTTCGTCAGAGAACGTAACTTGGATGGCTGAATCAGTACTAAAGTTTTTAGTATTTTGATCGAGAAAAATCTACCTGATCTGAGTAAACTGGATCAAATCCAAAACTCCAATCCATAACCAAACTCAAACCGAAACCAAAACTTTAGCTTCAAATCCATCCCTCAGCTTCCAATTTTTAGTTGGTATTTATCTCTATTTTGTCTATTAGTAACCTCCCAATGAATAGAACTTTAGTTCTTCATGTATACGGTAACATATATACGGTAAACAAGCATACTATTGATGACAAATTCGGTAACTTGAATTTGGTAACATATATACAGTAATTTTAATTTTTTTTCAAATTCTACTAATCTTTAATTTCATAATTAGTATTTAAATTTAGTATAGAAATGAATTTTCTCAACTATCTTGAAAAATAAAAAATTCAAATTAAAATATAGAATTTCAAAACTAGATAATTTCGGAAATTAAATTTTTAGAATTATTTAAAAGCAAAAAACATTTCGATAAAAATGGAATTTTGAGAACTATTTAAAAATAGAAAACAAAAAATTCAAATTAACCTATACTACATGATAGTTAACTGGGACTTCTTGTATCCTTCTCAAAATCAAAACCTTCTTGTTCTTGAGGCGGGTTTTTCAGAATCTGAAATTAAGCATGCAGTTTTCAATATGAACCCAAACAGGCTCCAGGCCCAGATGGTTTCTCTTTGTTATTTTACCAATCTTTCTAGGATTTAATTAAGAGTGATCTTGTTGCTCTCATGAACTTCTTTTCTCAGAATCCCTCATATCTTCACAGGGCGAATAAAGTCCTTATCACACTCATTCCTAAAAGTAAAGGAAGTTCCACAGTTAAAGATTTTAGGCCTATCAGCCTTATCAACTGTATTTTCAAAATTTTCACCAAAATCTAGGGGTGAGCACGGTTCGGTTCGGGTCGGTTTTTACCAAAATTTGAACAACCGAACCGAACCACCTATAATTCAAAACCGAACCGAACCATTACAAATCGGTTCGGTGCGGTTCGGTTCTAACTTTCATCAAGTATAACAATCAAATGCACAAATATTGCTTGTCCCAAGACATAATTTGTATATATTTGTTTTCATATGCGCCCAAATGCAAATCATTTGAGCCACGGCTAAGATACTTAAGCGTCGTGCACACTTGAATCAACAACTAACCCAAGGGACAACATACACAGAAGTGCTGAATTGAGTGATTAAATGGGGAAAATCCAACTCAAAGGGCACTAACATACTCCAACAAGAAGCGCTCATTCCACCTACTTCATGTTCAATTCAAAGACAACAACAGATGAAATTGAAGAAAAATTAATACTATGTACCTTGAGAGTAAGGGTCGGGGTCTTGGAAGAAGAGAGAGAGCGAGAGAAAGGGATTGAGGCCGAGCGAAATGGGAAATTGGGAATGAGTAGTGGCGGATGGGATTTGGGAATGAGAGGAAATGAAGTTAGGGTTGAGGGTTTGGGACGGGTCGGGTAAACGCGAACGGGTTTGAAAGTTTTGGGAATATATTCGGTCGGTTCGGGTCGGGTCGGTTTGAAAAGTTATCAACCCGACCCGAACCGCCTTACTCTTAAAACCGTTTTTTTCGGGTCGGGTCGGTCGGTTTTTTCGGTTTGAACCGAACCATGCTCAGGCCTACGAAAATCTTAGCCAACAGATTAGCACCACATATGCATGAGTTGGTTGCTCCTACTCAATTAGCTTTTCAGTCTGGCAAATCAACACTTGACTCTATCTTAGTTGCAAATGGGATGATACATTTTTGTAATAAAAGAAAAAAGTGGCTATGGTTAAGATTGATTTTGCTAAAGCCTTTGATTCTATTAATTGGAGTTTTCTTATTAATTTACTTAAGGCACGTGGTTTTGGTCAAAAATGATGTTCTTGGATCTTTTATATTATTTCCACCTCCAATTGTGCTGTTCTTGTTAACGGATCCCCTTCTAAGTCTTTCAAATGCAAAAGAGGTATAAAACAAGGAGATCATTTATCTCCTTTACTTTTCAACATAGTAGTTGATGTTTTGTGTAAAATGTTGAAGATGGTATTCTATCTAGCTTGAGCATAAAAGAACCTCTCAACCATATAAGAAGCCTCCAATTTGCAGATGATACTTTACTTTTTGTCAAAGGCATTTACAATGACATATCTGGTCTAAAGACAATTTTATATATCTTTAAAGATATCTCAGGCTTGGGAATTAATTATTCAAAGTCATCTCTTATCTACTTTGGTAGAATGCAGAACAGAGGGTAATCTCTAGCTTCATCCCTAAACTGCAAATTGGAAAAAACTTCCAATCAAGTACCTAGTTTACCTTTGAAGAGTGGTAAATTATCTAAATCTGAAACTTGCATCATGGAAGAGTAATTGTCTATCTTTTGGAGGCAGACTTATTTTGTTAAACTCAGTACTTTCTTCGATTCCTCTATTTTTTTATGTCCTTCTACAAACTACCTACATGGGTGATTATAGAAGTTGATAAAATCAGGAAAAACTTCCTATGGACTGGTAAAAATATTTTTAAACCATTTAAATGCTTAATCAATTGGAAGAAAGTATACTTAAGTAAATTAGAAGGAGGATTGGGAGTGAAGGATCTCAAACTGTTTAGTATCTCACTTCTTTCTAAATGGCTATGGAAATGCATTGACAAAGATTCTTTAATTGGAGCATTCCTTCATCATCTTTATATCAGAAAAGCTTCACTTCTACAATTAGCTAATTGCAATTCATCTAATTCCTTGTTTTGGAATGATATCATCTTAAACAATGAAATGTTTATTCATCTTCTACAATTGACTCTTGGTTCTGGTGAAAAAATAAGGTTTTGGGAAGATAAATGGATTGGTAACAACACTTTATCAAGTTTATACCCATGTCTATACAAACTATCCTTATCTACAAATGTCTCTATTCGCAGTCAAGGAATTTTTCATAACCAAATATGGCACTGGCATCCACTTTTGAAGAGAAGCATCTCGTCTTTTTCTTACACTGTCAAACTTGAGCTCATGAATCTAATTGGTTTACACAGTATCACCAAACATGGTGACATCCCTATATGGTCTCTTACAACAAATGGTTCATTCTCTGTCAAGTCTCTTTATGATTTCTTAAACTTCAGAGGAATTTTATTTGCCACCTACAAAGTTGTTTGGAATACAGTTATGCCAAGTAAAATTTAGTTCTTCACATGGCTGTTATCCATGAACAGACTTCACACCAAAGATAATCTTATAAGGAAAGATTAGCACGGAGACTCTACATGCATTTTATATGGTATACACCCTGAAACTAGTGATCATTTATTCTTCTCATGCACTCTCACCAAAACAGTGTGGAAACATTTCAGTGACTACTATTTACCTTTCATGTGGCCAACATCACTATATGATCTTTTCATCAGTGTGGAAACATTTCAGTGACTACTATTTACCTTTCATGTGGCCAACATCACTATATGATCTTTTCATATCTGTTGAATCTCTACACAAAACTGATTTTACCTTTCATGTGGCCAACATCACTATATGATCTTTTCATATCTGTTGAATCTCTACACAAAACTGATAGGATTATATGGCGATCTGTTTTCTCTACAGTGTGATGGTTCTTATGGACATCAAGAAATAAATATGTTTCTGAAAACACATCTTTCTTTGCTACCGCTATCATTAACTCAGATGTCTCTTGTTTGTATGAATGGTCAGGTTATGGAAGAGTGAAGGTTGCACTTAAGCTAGCAGCGGCTTTAAAAGATAAACCTATTTCGAGGTGCAGCAATATATAATTAAACACTATCAGTTGTTTCATATGTTGATTGTATATAATAACTCTTTTGTAGTATGCTGGTTTGCTTTATTAGTCTATAGAAAGTTTAATTTCTCCTTACTATATGTATGGTTGGATTTGGTTCTTTCTTATATCCATGTCGTGAATGACGGCAAGGCCCTCTCTTCACCCCTAGTTAGAGAAATTTCTTTTTCTATCTACTAATTTCTATGGATACAGTTCGTATCCTACTTTTGTAAAGATACTTTTGTTTTTTAATGAACAGGGTATATCCATTGTTTTTCTCTAAAAAAAAATCAATCTATACTACTTATAAAAGAAAATACACATGTCAAAACTTTTGATTTCCTTTTTTATCCTCTTAATTTTTTATAACTCAAAATTATACTATTAATTATAAAACTAATGAATCATAACCTCTCATTAACTATGCACATTTTCATTTTCTTAAATTATTTGGTCATTCACTAGAATATATTAATAATTTATAAAGATAACAAAATTCATAAAAAATATATGATAATTTATTATAAAGAATTATTAATTATATAAAATAGTAAAAGTCATTCATTTAATAAAGTATTATAAATAATTATAATTAATAATAATAGTATAAATAGCAGCTATTTCTTTATGTTGTAAAGAATATTACCTTGTTTGATAATTGATATCATCTTAGTAATAAAAATTTGGATATTATAAATTAAAAATACTTTCATTTTGGAAAATTAATTTATATAAAAAAATTTAGATCCTTGAAAATTATGAAACATATACTTTTCTCTTCTTTTTCTCAAAATATTTAGCCACCGCTAGAATATACTAATACTTTATAATGATAATAAAATTAATAAATATATCATAATTTATTATAAAAGAATTATTAATTATAATGAAATAGTAAAATTATTTATTTAATAAAATATTATACATAATTATAATTATTAATAATATTATAAATATGGATTGATTTTTTATATTATAACAATTATTACGCTTTTCGATATTATATTATCGTCTTAGTCATAAAATTTGGATATTATGACTTAAAAATACTTTTATTTAGGAAAATTACTTTATATAAAAATATTAGATCCTTGAAATTTACGAGTCATGTACTTTTTGTTGGAAAGTAAATGTCTCGTATATTTTAAGGATCCAGTATTTTTATATGAAGTACTTTTTCTAAATAATAGTACTTTTAATTTGTACCATCCAGTTTTTTATTACTAAGACAATATTAATTATCGAACAAGTTAATATTCTTTACAACAAAAAGTCATATAATATTAAAAATTATTGTCATTATTTAATAGATATTGTAATAAAATATACACATAACATATCAATTTAATAATTTAAATGGTTTAATTATATCAATAGTGTTACTTAAACTAATGAATACATTATTATTTAATAATTATACTCCTAAATAAATTGTTTAATAATATAATAATAGAAATTTTTAAATAACTATTAAATGTATGTTAATAATAGTATAAGTACTAATAATAATATAGTTAAAAGTTTTTAATCATAGTGCAATAAAATAACTTTTAATGGTTATATATAATTTATTAAATAATATAATACTAAATAGAACAACATGTCCACGTGTAAATCACGTGCATTATACTAGTCTATTTAAAATGGGAACATAATCCAAACTTGGTCATGTAAGATTTTTATTATAATCTACTTGAAATATGAATTTATTATACATAAATTTGATAACTTGAATTTGGAAAGATAAACTTGATAATTTAAATTTTATCTAAAATTTTGGTATTATTGAATTTAAATTTTACTGAAATTTCTTTCATTTTCAACCTAGTTTGGTATAAAAATAAATTTTCACAACTATCGAAAAATTCAAATTAAAATATGAAATTTTGAAACTGAATTGTGATAATAATTTTAAAGATCTAACATTAATAACGAAATATAGATGAATATGGTACAAAATAATTTTAATTATATTTAGGTTTTTAGAATATTATAATTCAAAATTTTTATTTTCAAAAAAAAATTAGAAATTTTAAAAAAAGGAAATATATTTTCAGAACTTTAGTATAATTACAGTAATATCTTTTAAAAACCAAAATTAACTACCAATTTTATGTTATAATTGTTGTAATATTATTAAGAATTTTTTTTTTTGTCAAAACCAAAAATATATTTTAATGTCGGCCACTTTTGTAAGCATCTTGAACATTTACTTGATAAGTAAATGTCATAAATATAAATATGTCCTACTTGATTACACTTAACTACTTTATAGTTTTCCCTAATTAATTGCACTTAACTACTCTATAATTTTCCTACTTTGCACTTACATACTTCAATTGTTTTTAACATCACTTATATACCCTGAAGTTTTTAAAATTGGAATTTAAATGACTTCAATTATGCAAACACAAGAATTTTCCTCCGAAAATTCTCATGTGATATTAACAAGCTAATTGTAGAACTTTTTAACCCTTAACTTTTTAAAACTTAATGTTAAAATTATTGAAATTATATTTTAAATCTACCATAGTTCCATTTTAACCTATGATTTCAATAACTTTAACAATAAATTTAATAAATATTCCAAGTAGACGTTCTAAAATTAGCATGTGAGTATCAAAATTAGCATGTGAGTATCCCTCGGGAAATTTAAATTGCACAAAGGAGGGTGTTCAAGGAAATTTTTAAAAAACTTTAGGGTATATATAAGGGCTAAATTGCACTTAAATACCCTATAGTATCACCACCCTTGCACTTAAGTGACATCTATTTTAAAACTGAGCAAATAAATATCCCAAAGCATTTAAATATTGTCGATAAATGCTACGAAGTTTTAAAATGTTAAGCTTCGGTTGCCCTCAATATTGCATTTAATTATCCTTAGTTTCTAATGGTCTCACTTAAGTACCCTAAAACTTCTAAAAGTTACCCTTTAATACCGTCTATCATGTCGTGTTCTTGGATATGTAGAGAAACTAGGTACATTTTAACTTTTTGGTATTTTATCCGTAATATATAAATACTTTGACATGTTTATTTGCTAGGTTTTAAAATAGAAGTTACTTAACTGCAATGTTGGTGAAACTATAGGGCATTTAAGTGTAATTTAGCCTAAACATAAGTGATGCTAAAAAAACAAACGAGGGTATATAGGCGCAAATAGGGGAAACTATAGGGTATTCAAGTGCAATTGAGCCAGTTTCCAAAATCACCATGAGCCACTGAATGAAATAAAAAAAAAAAAAACCAACACCCACTCCCTTATCTCCCAATTTCCCCCACAGAGCCTCCTCCCCGCTCCAATGGCCACGCTACTGTTCGGCAGCGGCGGCGGCGTGCTCACCGCCCGCCACAACTTCCCAACAAATCACCCCCCCCCCGCCTCCCTCTATCCTTCCACGTGTCCCCCCGCAGCAGCCACGTGCGCGCGCCGAGAGGGCTGGCCTCGTCTAGAACCCGGAGACTGGAGAAGAGAACCAAGAAAGGCGACGAAGACAGAGAAGAGGATCCGGGTGAGGAGGCAGCAGGAGCTTCTTCTCCTCCTCCTCCTCCGTTTGAGGTTGGTGGTGGAGGAGGAGGAGGAGGAGATATTGAGTATTCGAAGGAGCCGATGCCGAAGCTGGAAGGATTGGAGCCTGATTTCTGGGAGGGCCCTCAGTGGAATGCTTTCGGGTTCTTCGTGCAGTACATGTGGGCTTTTGGCATCCTCTTTGGGGTACAATTTTCCCTTGTCATCTTCTTTCAATTTTGTCGCATGATTATGCCGATTGTTTTTGTTGGTTGCGTACTGTGTTGCATTGGATGAGGAGGGGGAGGAGGAGGATGGGGAGTGGAAATGTCGCAATTGCGGAGTTTAAATGGGTTTTTAGGGATATGGCTTGGTTCTAAGAGCATCTCCAACAGCTTCCCCAAAAATTTCTCCAAAATAGGGAATCAAATGTCATATTCTCCAAATTATTTTTGCTCCAACTCCAACAGCTTCCCCATTTTGAAGAATCATGCATTTATTACAATAATAAAAATATTCTACATCTTTGACTAATAAATAATAAATTATTTATTATTTTGAAGAATCCCCATTTTGACCAAATTATTTATTATTATAATGAGGAGATGAAGTTGTTTTTTGTGGGTTGAGTCTAGAAGAACGTGAAAAAGTGCTTCCCCAAATATTTGCAGATTTGGGGAAGGCTCTCTATTTTTTCTCTCCTATCCCCATTTTGGGGAATGAGATGGGGAATCTGTTGGACCAAAAAAAAGCTCAAAATTCTCCAAATTTTAGAATACCAAGAAGATGGGGAAGCTGTTGGAGATGCTCTAAGAATATTTATTTCAAACCTTAGACAACCCTGACCTTGTGCGAAATTATATGTGCGTGACAAGGGATCAATCTTGAGTGGTTCTGCATGGCTACAACCAAGGGGCTAAATATTCTGTGTGATCAGTGTTGGGATTCTCTCCAAATCTCATAAATGAGGAGTGATTTGTGTTGACGAGAAAGATTGAGAAGCTAGTCAAAATTGAAGAGTGCAGAGGGTGAAAGTTTGAAGGGCTAGGAGATGAAATGATGCATTAATGGTCAACTTCTTTAACTTGGCATTGGAGCCTATAAAAAGGGGTGTGCTAGTATTGGGAATGTCATCCTCCAGGTTTGGAGGGAGGATCCTCTTAGAATTCTTAGGTGATTGGTGTTTTTGGATTCTCTGAGAGATGTTGTGTGATGGTAGGCCTCTTGGAGCTCTTGAGTGATCGGTGTTCTCGGGTTTCTTGAGAGGTGGGAGATGTGTGAGGGTTAGTTTTTATGTTTGTTCGTGAAAAACTTGTGTATCACTTATGTTGATTGTGTTGGTTTGTGAAGATAGTGAGTTTTCCTAGTGAGGAATACGTGGACATAAGCATGTTTGGCCGAAACACGTAAAAACTCTTGGTGTTGTTTTGGTGCTTGTACTCCTTATTGTGTACGGTTGTTTGTGTGCTCCATTAATCCCCAACAATCAGACTGGACGCTAGTTATCTCAATTTTAATCCTTCAGCAATTGAAGATCCATGGGATGGTAACCTGATTTGGCAAACATTTTCTTGATCACAATACGAAGAAATTCTGTCATAGGCCCTTTCTTATTGATTCTCCACCGAGTTTATGATTTTTTTAATAAAAATTTTGTCTACCTTTAGAGCCGGATTTGATGTACCTTGATTTGGAAGGAATCCAAATTGTTTCCTGCCAATGTGTGATTCCAAAGAAGGATATGGTAATGCCGACCAAGGATTTAGAAGTTCATTACCTTTGCGGATTAAAAATAGTCATTGAGCTGCATGATCACCAGATTAGGCTTGTTTTACTATAATAGATAGAGGCGATTTTGAAGAAGCCATAGAATGATTTACTTTCAGTTGGTTTTAGATTCAGATGACTCTTTTTTCTCAGATCAGTTTCATCATCTACTCTTTAAAATTTACCTTGGATCCATGCTTATAGCTTTCTGTTTCACTTATTTTGTTTTTCTTTTCTCCAAGTGTATTATTTTCACTTGCCCTAGTCTGCTCCAATTCATTAGTTGGCTGCTAACATTTGAATTTCAAGCTATAAATATGATCTTGGTCCTTAAACTTATATATTGACACTTTTACAGACACAAATCAGTCTACGTAGATGATTTTGTAGGTACCAACCGTACCATTGCTGTGATTGACATACATTTCTACTGCATTTTACTTATGAAGGCTGTGACGAAATGAATAAGCCAATTGTTATTGCAGCTGATTTCTGGCGGAATAGCTGCTGCCACGTATAATGAAGGGGCAGCAGATTTCAAGCAAACTCCAGCGTACAAGGAGTCGATCCAATCGAGAGAACTACTAGAAGAACCAGATGCATCTAATGCTGATGTATTTGAGGCCAATCCTACAGAGACTGCACCAAGTTTGGAGTAATCCTATCACGGCAAATTCGTGTGATGCTGGATCATGGATATCCTTCTGTACTCATAATAGAGTATATAACTCACAGGGTAAGGCCATATGCCAGGTTTGTCTGATTATTATTTATATGCTGTGCTCTCTCCCCTTTTGCAGGTGAATTTGCAATACTTTCTTGATCTCATCTTGTAAGTTCTTAAAGAATGCAAGTAGCAGTGTAATATTTCTCTTGATACAAGTAAAGGTTTCCAGAAATATATAAATTATTCTTCCTTTTCAGTTTGCTATATGCACATTCATTGATTAGGATTTTTATCTGTTATTTGCACCTATTTGTTTTGTTCTCTTCTATAGATATATTTCAGTAGTTCTTAAACTATTTTCATCTACTATATATATAGCAAAAGATATCTCTATTGAAAGGCCTAATTGAAATTTGATAATTTGTTGTTATCTTCTAGAAACAATTAGTTTTTCCATAATGATTTAAGTTTGGTATGTATAGAATGTGCCAACAGTACTTTATCCAAAAGGTTTACATAGTATATACAGATGGGATTACTGATTAGAAGCCAAAAGGTTTAAATTTCACATCATGAAAGATAGGCCTATCGTATAGCCTGATAGAATTTTCATAATTTGTTGTTATATTTCTGTAACAAATAAGTTTTGATTTAAAGATAGGAAGCTATAAGATTTTTATGTTCATAATTAAGGATTAAGGAAGAATTGTGCAAAAAGTTCCAATTTCATCTCTAAATTTTATTGAAACAGAATTCTAACTAATTTCATGTTCCAACTTGAACCCCAAATCTTATCAAACAAATCTCTAACTAGTCTCAACTTCCAATTTAAACTTCAAATTTTATTGAAACCTAATTCTAACTAATCTCAAATTGTAACAATTTGTGTTTTGTTAGGGGGGAAATAATGACTTCTTCCCTGTCCAAATACTGATTGGATGTTGTAGAGTTCAACTTAGTTACTTTACCGCAACTTCAACTCCAAACCCAAATGAATCACCATACTGATAGTCTGGATTCAATTAGAGTAATCTAAATTATTCAAATCCAATTACAATTCAAAAAGTCTCTATTGTACACAACTCTACAGATGTTGTTCTCTAATCTTTCCAAAAAACTCAAATAACTTCCTATAAGCACCAGATCAATGTAGCCCCCATTCTTCCCTTCCGAAATCTTTAAAACCCATGGCTTCATCTCCCATCACCACCCCTCTCTTCCTCCTCCTCCTCTGCTCCTCCTTCTCAACTCATCCCGTCAAGTATACTCTCCTCCCAAGCTTCTCAAGAGCACCAATAGCCACCAAAGCCCACGACTGCTCTCATAGCTCCACGGGCCCTGCCAACATCTCCATGACTCCCGACCCCAACTCTCTCCGAGCCCGAGTCACGACCATCTTCTCCATCCTCTCCCACGCTTACTGCCTTAACAACCTCCTCTTCCACCTTGTCATCTCCTCCTCTGACCACCACAACCAAAATTACCAAACTCTGCTCCAGGTCATCTTCCCAGGGATCCATTTCGAAATATCCTACTTCAAACAAAATGATCTCAACTATGCACGTCGCTATCTCGCTATATCTTACCCTTATATGTTGACAAAGTCGTATATCTAGACTCCAATGTGATTGTTCTTGACGATATAGTGAACCCATGGAACATGAAGTTTCCTTATAACTCCTCAGTCATTGCTGGACCAATAAATTGTGAGGGTGATGATGTATGTTACGTTGACACGGGGGCGATGGTGGTGGGTTTGGGGTGATGGAGGGAAGGCAAGTATATGGAGAAGATTGAATGGATGATGAAGATGCAAAAGGAGGAGAGAATTTATGATCTGATTTTGTTGGTGTTTGCTGGAGATTTGGAAGGGATTGTTGAGAAATGGAGTGGAATTGGACGTGGTGACGATGACGGAGGGTGTAGGGTTATCGATCGGTGGAGAGGAGGTTAGTTTGGTGCACTGGAGTGCGAAGGAGAAGAAGCCATGGGAGAGATTTGATGGAGGAAAGGGTTGTGATGCTGATAAGTTATGGTCTCATTATGATTTGCATCATTCAGACTCTTCATACCTGTGAATAGAAACTTAACTAGAGAGACAAGGTTCCCATTATTTAGTTCATCTTTTTTTGTTAGGTGTTGTAGGTCGCTTTTGGTTTGTTTGCTATTATTGTTGCATTTTTAGTTTTAGAGTTTTAGTGAGGTGGGCACGACCTTGCGGAATCTTTAGGATATGAAAGTTAAAAATATGCGAATTTCTGGTGTATCGAAGTGTCATAAATTCTTTTGGGGATATTGAAGTTAAAAAAAAGATGTAAACTTTAGGGTATCAAAGTGCCAATAAACTTTAGGGTATCAAAGTTTAAAAAGTTTAAACTTTAGAGTGCCAAATCGCAAATAACCCTTCAAGAAACCTTAGTTAAGGGTGTTTTGGTCAAGGAGGGACCATGTTGCAATAACACTAGAATTTGAGGGAGTAATGAGCATTTATTGAGATTTGAGAGACTAATAAGGAAGTTTTGAAGATTTGAGGGACTAATATCTAAATAACCCTTTTCTTTTAATGTTTGCTATCTGCACATCATATTTCCTCCCAGCACTGTTATGTTGGAAATCTTTGATGCATATGTAATATGTTACTGTCGCCCTTAAACTATTTGCACCCGTATGCAATAGCGACAGTTAAATGTATTGAATAGCCGAATTGGATTTTCACAATTTCTTGTTATCCTCAAATTAGCATAGTTTCCCCTTGGGGATGTAAGTTAGGTATTGTTTCAACTCTCAGCTTTGGTGGAATCATGATATGCAGTAATAATTTTTTGATCTTTCCCTCAAACCTTGTTCAGGCTCAAGAACTTAATAAGTTTCTTCATTTTTTTTCCCATTTTTTTTTCTTTTTAAATTTTTAATTTTTTTAAGTACCATACATCTATTCCTAAGAAATTTTCCTGTTTTTGGGCTCTGTCTTGGGATCTACTTAACCTTGGTTTATAAGGATATAAGATCCTTATGAAGAAACCAAGCAACCTTATGACGAGCCCTAAAAGTTTGGATAGGATATAAACTCCTCATTATGGTAAGACTTAACTTCCTCGTCATGATAGAACTCTAACGTTTTAACTACATGAAGTTATATACAAAGAATTAAAGAGACAATCCTAACGATACGTGATCTTTTTATATGACTATTAATTGTTAATTAACCTTTGACTATTTATCCAATGTCGGAATATCCTTATAAAAGCTAGGTGGTGGCAATTTGCAAACGAAAAAAAAACACTTGCATTGCATGAGGCTCGGGTCTAAAGAAATTACTGAGCCAGACTCTCATGTCAAGAGCGAATTATTAATTTAATTAATTTACAATTTTATGAATTAATAATTTTAATTTAACATTTAACCTCTAATCCTTAAAATCGTTTAGAAAGCTTTATTGTAATATGATACCTTTAAAAAAAAAACTTACGTCCAGTCGTTGACTATTGACTAATTTGTGCACAACTATTAAGCAAAACACTTCTTTGCTCATTGCCAAATTGCAATTCCTCCATAAACATAGAATTAACTTGAAATATCAAAACACTATAAGAAACTACATTTTTAAAAATATGTTTTCAAAACCACATGCTGGCAAAACTTTTGTTTTAATACCTTTGTGTGATATATATGCATTATTCTCATTATAATGTGCAAGCTAGATTGTATCTAAATATTCATTGTTTACCCAAATGAACCTAGCGGCCAAATATTTCAGCTTTGTAGTATTTGCTCAATCTAAAAATTTGATTAAGTTGTTTGCATACTAGATTATGGACTCGAAAACAATGATATCATCGGGTCTAAAAGATCATGTAACAATTTGAATTCTTTATAACTTGGGTACATGCATTGTGCTAGAGAATCCAAATATATATACTATGATACTGCATGCATCCAGACTCCTGACGTGTTTATGACCACACGAGGCAATTCTTCATCCCAATAGTTAAGTCTGCCCACCGCTACATTTGTATGTCAACATCATACATTATAACCTATTATAATATATTTATTTTATACTAGTTATAAATTACAATTTAAGTTTAATAAAAATTATAAATCACATCAAATATCTTCGCAAGCGATTGATGACAACACATGATCTAATCAAATAATTTATAGTGATGTTATAACAATTATATGAATATATCCAACCAAAAATAATAATAATAATAATAAGAGCAATAACAAATTCTTCATTAATATTAAAGAATATTGCATAACTGCATTGGATTTGGACGTGCTAGGGCACAATAAACTACTTTAACAAGTTTCCCTGAAAATTTCTGATTAGATGCCAAATTTGTTTATGATATATATGAACATTTTTCTAAAATTTGCATCTGTATCTAAGCTTTTTTCGATACTTTATAAGCTTTTAACTTTAATTTCCAGGATTATGAAAAGACAACTCTAGTGAATAGCCTAAAAGTATAGAATAGCTTCTACCGTCATAAACCTTGTTATTTTACCTCAGTTCGAACTCCAAAACCCCAAAATTAAAAAGATCTTGTAATACTCGAATTCAAGAAAATAATCTTTCGAAACTTGTTCTCCTAGTCTTGATGCTGCTACAATTTGTGTTTATCAGGCAGCAGAATTCTAATTTAAATGGAGTACTGAAACAGATATGATCCTAATTTAAAAAGTCATAACAAATTTGTTTCATGATCCTAATTTAAAAAGTCATAACAAATTTGTTTCTAAGGCAACAATAAAAACAATATGTTCCCTTCCCAAATACCGTTGGAATTTGTTGAGTTCAACTACGTACAGAACAAGATTCTACGACTATGAGCCTCCCTATCTAGTTTACATCAATTCCAAAATTACCGACATCCAACAATCTCTTTAGTAATTCTATCAGAATTTGTCTTCCTATTCTCAGGAGGACTAAGATTATTTTCCTATAAATATAGCATCTAAACAGCCCCCTTCTTCGCATCTCAAATCTCTCGAGCGATGGCTTCGTCTCCCGTCGCCCCCTCTCTCTTCCTCGTCCTCCTCCTCCTCATCTCCCCCTCCGTCGCGATTCGCGCAAACTTCTTCAAGAAACCCACGTCCCAAAACTCTCCCCTCCTCCAAAGCTTCTCACGAGCACCGATACCCAACAACTCCCACCACCACGGCTGCTCCAATGCCCACGTCAACGTCGCCATGACCCTGGACTTCAACTCCCTGAGAGGCCTCGTCTCCTCCATCTTCTCCATCCTCTCCCACTCTTCTTGCCCCAACAACCTCCGCTTCCACTTCCTCATCTCCCCCTCCGACGACAACAACAACTACCGAGCCCTCCTCGAGTTCATCTTCCCTTGGCTCAGCTTCCGCATCTCCACCTTCGAACAAAAAGCCGTCCAAGCCCTCGTCGAACAAAAATTCGTGCACGACTCCCTGAGCTACGCGCGTGGCTACCTGGCCGATGTCCTACCACCGTCTGTCGACAAAGTCATATATCTAAGCCCCAATACCATTGTTCTCGACGACATAGCGAACCTATGGAACACAAGGTTCCGCCATAACAGCTCCGTCATCGCCGCACCAAGGTACTGCGTGGCGAAGAAGCAGTGTTACTTCAAGACAGGGGTGATGGTGGTGGACTTGGGGAGATGGAGGGAAGGCAACTACTCGGAGAGGGTTGAGGAGCTGATGGTGAGGATGCAGAAGGGGGAGTGGATCTACGACCCGATGGTGATGGCGCTTAGAGGAGCAGCGGAGGGGATCGATGAGAGATGGGACAGGATCGAGTTGGATTTGGATGGAGATTGCAAGGTGATGTACGGCGAAGGGGAGGTCAGTCTGGTGCATTGGAGCGCGATGAGGCCGTGGGAGAGGTTCCATGGAGGAGAGGCTTGTGAGGATAAGCTATGGTCTCAGTATGACCTTTATCGTCCTTAGCCTACACAATTTGTTTAGGTTCCCTTTTTTTTTTTAGATTCTGAAGGTTTCAGCTCTTCGTCGTCGTAGGTCTTGTAGGTTGCTTTTGGTTTGTTTAGATTTGTTCTTCGGTTCTAGAGTCTCAAGAGTTTCAGGGTGCGAGTGAAGAGCCTCGCAACTTGATGGCATTACATTTAAATAATAATATATAATAGCAGTGTTTTTTTTTTCCTCTCTTTTTTAACAAATATGAAATTGTGGTCTAAAGTACAGCTGCTGTGTCTGAACAATGCATTGTATTAGCATCTCGTGAAAGTTATTTAGTGCCATATTAGAACTAAATACTTGATGTATGGTATCTTGTGTCACGTATGTTGGTGTTCTCTTGCAGTCGAAAACAAATATTAGAAACTGCTAGTTGCCATGAACATTGGAGACTGCTAGTTGCCATGAACTTCGTGGAGAAGGACAAGTTGATAATGTCTTCAAGACAAATATCAAAAACTGATATTTAGTAGCCATCTAACTTTAAGATTTATACTCGGAGGCTTGTTGCATCATCCTTCACTAACTAATAACCTTAAGATTCAAAGAGATAGATTTATAGATTCAAAGCGATAGATATATCCTCAATCATTATTCACCTACTCCAAAAAAAAAAGGCTCAATCTTCGAGACATGATGTAAGGGTCATATCTAGCCATGTCACTACTAAGTTCAATGAAAGAACTTGGTGCCAATGTTCTCTATATTTCTCATATATATATATATATATATATATATATATATATATATATATATAGATATATATATATATAATTTTATAGTATAGATTATTGTATGTCACCCAGCAACTTCTAGCCATTCAGTTTAATTAATATAAAAAATATTTATATCATGTAAGTGAGTCGCTAGGCAATATGAGCGGACAAAGTGTTTGCAGCTCTCTCTCTCTCTCTCGATCTCTCGTCTCTCATCTCTCTCTCTCTTCTCCTAATATATATTATCTAGTAATATATATATATATATATATATATATTATACTATATATAATATATTATATATATCATATAAGTAGAACGGACTGACACTATAATCCAACGGCAGAGATAAGATGTTCTAAATAACGATACTTCATTTTCATTCATCACAATAGCATTTTGACTATAATTTACTAATAAAAAACTGTACAAGGAGCATAAGTTGGAAATCTATTTTAATCTTACATATTTGCAGCAGTAATGCAATAACCTTTGAATTTTACTCTCATTGTCCTCATTGCTGTCAGCGACCCCTTTCTCTGGAATAGCTGACTTCACGGAGACCCATTTCTTTAAAATAGAGGCAAGCCTTCTAAGCTGTTTATCGAGGTCAAGGTAACAAGGAAAAAATAATTGTAGGAATTAGGAATCAGAGTTAAATCAAAGGCTTAAAAATTTCATCTCGGATTGCTAGGATACAAAGATAGCTGTTGCGTTATGACCCTCAGGGATGCTGGGGCTTTCATCCAAGTCCTCCATTGGATGACTCTCAATGTCTTCTTCTATGAGATGAGATTTATTAGCAAACAGGGATGCAAATTGCTGGAGGGCAGAGATGCTAATATCGTCTTCTTGAACTTCACCCAGCAGCCTCGCCATGATGCACCAGAATGCACTTCGGGATTGCGGGTCCTCAGAAACTAAAGGTAGAATTTCAAGCAGACCCTGTAGAAATGAAAAATCTGGAAGTATGGATATGTCTTGCATCAGTTACGTATTCCATAAAGGGTGACCATAGTTTCGAGTATTGACGAGGTATTGCCACATACCTTGTGAAAACTTTGATGCAATATGCTGCTCATCTACCAAAAGATTTGCAAGTATAACAATAGCAGAAACACAAGAGTTTGCAACCTGTCTCAGAGAGCTTTTTCAGAATCATCTAATGAAGAACATTCAAAGAAACATATTTTCCCATAACACATTGAGAATCACATGATAGCACTCATCAAAGATGCAAAAATATTTATACGATAGCACTCATTAATGATGCAAAACTATTTCAGCAACTTAGCATCTCATGACCATCTCTAGTTTATTTGGCTCCTTGCAATGAGAATGGATAGAGTAATCGACTTTCTGATTTCAAGTGACAATTAGCAAATACAGTTTTTATTTGGTTTTTACATGTAAACCACGTTTACTTTCATCAAAATTGATACTTATACATTTAAAGTTTTTTTCCCCGGCTCAATACCACCTTTACTTGCTAACATCTTTGCAATGTCACACTTATTTAAGTTTTCAATATAAAAAACACGTGACCTAACCATTTTACCCCCTAATTAAAGCACATTCTTTCCACGTGTATCCTAATTAATTATAAACTTAAGTCTTTTTTAAATATTGGTCCTCCAAGTCTTTCATATTTTGAAATTAGCCTCCCTCCCTCCCTCTCACCATCATGGATCTCCTAACCCCAATCCTCAAACCCTAGCCCAATCCCCAAAACCCTAACCACATCTCCCCTCAATCCTCCTCTTTCAATTCTCCCCCAAACCCTAACCTCAGCTCCCCTCAATCTTCCCTCCCTCTGCCTCCAATCTAAGAATCCCCAACCCCCTTTCCAAAAAAAAGAAAAAAAAAACCTAGCCAAGGAATAAAAGATCAACAAATAGGCCTCCCTATAATCCGCTCCGGTGAGGGTGACGCCAGTCGTTGAAGAGGACATCAATTGGGGGGACTAATTTCAAAAATATGATGATTTTGGGGTCTAGTATCAAAACATGAAAGATTTTGGGGACTAATATTGAAAAAAAAACTTACAATTAATTGGACACACATGCTTTGCACGTGTTTGGGGTGAGGGTATTATTGTCGATTCAAGTGTTTTTTAGGCTAAAAAATTCAAATAGATGTCACATTGCAAAGATTTAGATGTCACATTGCAAGTAAAGATGGTATTGATAAAAAAAACTTTAAAGGTGGTAAGTATCAATTTTGATAAAAGTAAATGTGGTATGGATGTAAAAACCCTTTTTATTTTTATTTTATTTTTCGTATGAGTTTAGTTTCCAAAATATGGAAGATTTGGAGGGTGAAGATGTAAAAAGCCCAAAACGTTTGTAAACCACAGCTGTCAATTACTTGGAAATTGTTTGCAGTTCAAAACCAGCATTCACATTATTTGGTAATTTGTGCTCTTTTTATGTTTACAACCCCTAAATTTGTACTTTCTAAATGATTCTAGTACCATGAATTGATAAAAAGAACATGCACACAAAATGATCTCTTAAATTGATTCGAAATGCATGTGAATTCCACACCAAATAAAGTTGGATCCACTCCTCAACATCCAAGCAATAATTCAAATATAATTTGCAGAATAAAGCTCAGTTCAATTTAGTTGTATCTAAGTTTATCAGACTGCGCTTCCTTTGTTTAAAATAGCTAGATAACTGAGTTCTGTATGATGTGAATCCAACACTACAATCCAAGCTACTTGTGAACAATTTATTGTTCTAAAGTATATAGAGTTTTGAGGTAATATATTCATCATATGCATATTAACTGTGAGCATTTATGAAGAATTATGTGTTGCTCCCATGTAACAGATACCTCAATTTTCTCGGGCAGCTTGAGCAAAGCACAAATCAACGGCAGGAGTTCCTCATTCGAAATGATCACTTTTGAATAATTATCAGTAGCAGAAAGCGCTTCAACTAAGCCCAGTATTGAATCAAGAACAGAAAACCTAAAATACCATCATAAAAAACACAAGAATAGAAAACCTAAAATACCATCATAAAAAACATGTGCATACCACGGAAACACATAGTTAAAGCACATTTGACATAAAATTCAAATTTTCAACAGAAATTGCATCATAGCTGATGTAGGCAGTCAGAAAAAAAAATGCAAACAAGATCAACCCAATGCAGCATGGGGCCCACCAGGGGCAATTTGGTCATTTAACATGATCAATGAATTTAAAAACATTTTCACGTGAATACCACAGATACGCATAGTTAAAGCACATTTGACAAAAAATTCAACAGGAATTGCATCATAGCTAATGTAGGGGCTAAAAAAAATGCAAACAAGATCAACCCAACGTAGCATGGGGCCCACCAGGGGCAATTTGGTCATTTAACATGATCAATGGACTTATCAAATATCCTGAGAGCACATAAGTTGGCTGAGGAGAAGATAACTGCAAATCCCAAGTCAAAACAGGCTAATTCAACCTTAACCCCAAACAGAATCAGATCATCGAATTTAGTGTCACGGAGTTAATAACTCCGCTCAGGAGCTATCCCTGCTAGGATGAAGGAGAACTAACCTCACGGAGCACAAGTCAAAATTTACCCCACGAGCAAAATCAAGTTCAATCTCGTGGAGCACAAGTCAAAGTTAACCCCTTGGAGCAAAATCAAGTTCAACCTCATGGACCTACAGTAACCCCCGGAGCACAACTTAACCGCATGGAGCACAACTCAGCTTAATCCTGCAAGGCAAGGAAGATTAGCCCTGCAATGATTGCCAAATTCTTCTTTGGGCGGCGATTCAAACTGATGTTGACATGTGTCAGAGGAGAAATCATTGTTCCTTGCTACAATGTGTGCGCTCAGTACCGTTCCTTTAGAGACTATGATGATTTATCCCCACGACCATATATAGTTGGATCGCGGAGGTAACAAAGCTGCTACAGCCACTCTGCAATCAAATTGATCTCACAGTTTAGCCCTGTGGCGCCAACAACAATAGCTCCGCAACACTAAAAGTTCTGAAAAGTTCTGTACAGTATTGCACTACAATTATGTTAGTACGGCGGTGTCAGCTCTGCAATTGAAGCTAGCTCCGCAGCCCCCTCCAGATTCAGCCTATAAATATCCCCTATCTCCACCATTTCATGGGCTCTTGGTTCCTCTGGCTTCTTCTTACCTAGGGTTCCTGTTGGCGGTTGTCTCCTTCATCTCTGCCCCCAAATGAGCTCCATGACCTAGAGTTCAGCTCTTGCAAAACCAAGATTTTTTTGCCTTCATCGGCCATAGTTGGATTATCCGACTACTTTGCCTTGCAAAGCTTGGTGTTTTTCACCACTTTCTCTCCTTCTTGGGGTTTTGTTTATCTTTGGAGCTGATCCCTCCAAGAGAAACTATACTTCATTGGAGTTCAACTTCTCATTCGAAGAAAACCCCTTTTACACAAGTTTGAGTTCTTCAAATAGAGCTCCCCTCGACAACCACAATGAAGATATAATACGGGTGTATCTTCTCTTCGGAACTTAGCGATCCTCATGGGAGCTTGAGGATAGATGATTCTCATGATAGCATGAGAATAGAGGTGTCAAACAGTACAAGGGAACGCAGGTTGGAGAGAGAAACGAGGCAGAGAATCGAAGAGTCAAAGTATCCAGATTTTAGCCTGTGAGTCGACTCATACATGTACATGAGTCGACTCATCAGGTTGAGTCGACGACTCACGAAACCAAGCCCAGTTCGCAGTTCGTCTCTGACCAGTCGACTCATCAGTTATGAGTCGACTCATATGAGGTCATGAGTCGACTCATCTCAGTCATGAGTCGACTCATTCCTGGTCTTGAGTTTTGTCCAGTTTCGGACAAGTCGACTCATCTCAGTCATGAGTCGACTCATCAGAGTTTTCCAGATTCGTTAAGGACTCTATTTACGTGTTTTCCTATTTTGGTTGGGTTTGGTTATTTACCACTTTGCCACCCTCGTTTGTACACATATATAAGGGATTGTTTTAGGGTTTAAAACAATCAGAGAGTTTAATCAAGAGAGATTAAAATTGTAATTGAGATTTGGAGAGCCTGTTCTTCAATTCTAGAGTGAGATTGTGAGAGATTGTAAATTGCATACTCATAATCTAGAGAAGGTATTTTCCTTCGCCCAAAACCTACGTTATTCTTGTGTTCTTATTGTTTTCTCCTCTACCCACCTTTGATAATTCCGCGATCAAAGGTGCTCGCACGGCAACTCGTATCAAGATAATCTCGACAACTCAAGCAATTATGTTTGTGTAGTCAACGGAGCCAAGATCTAGTCTCTTTCGGATATCTCTCCAGAATCTCAAACTTGTAATTGTTGTTTTTGAGTGACGAAGTGCAGAATTGCATTTTTTCATAAATTTATAAATTGTGAACTTTTTCTCCCAAAAATAGCTAATTCCACGCATTGGACCAAACAAACTAGAACTTTTGAAAACTGACAACTAGAAAACCACAAGAACTCTCACAGCTAATTGAGTTAATGAGAAACAATTTATGGGAGGTTGTGGAAGAACTGGACTTGATTCTTATTAAAGCTTATCTATTCCAAGCACTCAGAGTTAGCAATTAGTGTGTCTAGCACATCTAACTATTCTAAAGATATAAACGTAAGAATTCAGGTCTGAACTTGGCCTTATGGCCTTGGTCGCCTAAAGTGGCCAAGACCAGGCTAAGCTCCAAACGAATTGTGAGCCATAAAACGTATCTTGAAGATTAAATTAATTCCTAAAATTCACAACCATATTTGTCAACTAATAATAGTTTCCTTTAATGTGGGAAGATTAAGCTAGAAATGTTCATAGACGATAATGAGGGCAGAAAGAGGACAAAAAAGAAGAAGAAAAATTATTTCATAATAAAGCTAGAGCATTATACTTTCTTCCTATGTTATCCGAGTACTTCTATAATGAAGCTGTACCCATACCGGACACATACCCGACACTTTACCGTACCCAAACTTCATGGACACTTCTTGCATATATGCATGCATTTATCACGTCATGTACTCAATTATACGATATATGTGTTAATTTAAAACACTTGTCAAACACTTCTTGGACTATAGCTTACACTTCACGTCCGTTTCTTGAAACTAGTTAGATATGTTTCGGGTTCGTTTCAGTCCATACCCAAGATTAAAATTATATAGTTCAAGGGTCGTTTGAATGTCTAGTAAAAAAATGCGTAGTTTCCAATTTATGATAATCAATATGATAAAAGAAACTTTAAAATGTGATCGGAATTTTAATTCTAACGACACATGAAGCGGAAGAAAAATGATCTCATGTACATTGTCTATTTTATTTATATATTATTATATATTTATATATTTATTTTTATTCTTTTATATATAGTATATATATACTATATATATATATATATAGCTGTGTCCCCGTACCCTACATTTTACAGCTTTGTCGTGTCCCGTACCCGTACTAGTACCTGTACCCGTACCTATTTCCATGCAACTTAGCTTTCTTCAAATATAGCGGCTGAAACTAAAAAGATAGGAAATCAAATAAAAATAAGCTAAGAGTGTGTTCAAATTTACCTCTCTAGCTTTGTTTCGTCTTCTAATTTGCTCAGTTCACTTGCTAATAGACCGGCTATAAGATTTGGTAACCCCAGTTCTACCAAAGGTTGGAGCAGAATAGTTGACACTTCTTGATTACTGACGATGGTCAGCAAGAAATCAGTGCTCTGTCAAAATCAGAACGTATATCATGGATCCATAATAAACTTTCTGTCTCATGATTAGAAGTTTTTAAAAAAAAAATCACTGTGACAATAATCAGGTGATTTTCAGTCCTATTGCATTAAAACAAGGATAGCCTGATAAAATATTGTCAAAGAATAACAAGACAATTGCAATCGAGTACAAATTTCCTACAAAATGCATTGAAAGAAAAATATAGAAAGACAGGAAACTAGGCTTCTTATTTGAAGTCATAAAAACATAATACTGTACATCTCAAGGCATAGCATATATTCTCTTTCTCATAGCAAAATCTAGGGTGAGCAAAGGAGAAGGTGTTTATATTCCATATTCTGCTGCAGAAGGTCCATTCAGTAAAGTGAACATCTAATGGAACAGTGCATTAACATCCAAGTTATGCAATTAGAATAACCAAGTCAAAAAAACTATGGAGAAACAAAGCCATTTGCAACCTTCAAAAAATTCAGCTTTAGGCATGTAAGAATATCATGCAGTAGATCAAAAATTAATGCTGTGTACAGTTCATGAAAAGATTTGATCTGGGATTCATCATTAAACAGATTTATCGCATGTACTGTAACAGTCCAAAAATTGTTTGTTTAGTATTGCAGCATCGCGGTATGCTTACTTCGTCACTCCCTCTTCTCCATGCTTGTAATCAACATACAAATATAAACTTAACTATATGTCTCTATCAGAGTAATCTCAATGAAGCAAAGCCTATGGTAAGAGGATCTTTTGATTGACAGATATTGTTCAGCAAATTCCCAAAAGATAAATCTCCGGATTACAATACCTTTCCTAATAGCACAGTGTTTAATGTGTTCCCAATTATCCAGAGTACACGTAGAAGAACTTGATCAGGTAACAATGCTTCAGCCCAAGAGGCAAACTTGTTACCTTGAAGACCAGCAGTTAATAGCCTGTGGCAAAGAAATGAGGAGCACATTGTCAAACTTTAATCCTTCAACAAACCATCATATTTGGCCTTAAGGGCAACATGAAGAGGATTTAAGAGGGGAAAAGTGGCTTTATCGTATATATAAGAAAAATAACATGCAAGTGGTAGCAAGAAATCCAAAAAAAAAGGAGAAAGAGCTTACAAAATCAAACACAAGAAGGTATATCTCCTGGATAATCATGTTTATTCTCTACAGAATTTCATGGCAAATGAACCAGAATGCTATTATTTAGCTGGAGTTTATGCGCAATAGATGTAAGAATCATCCATAACACTAAACTGATCACATACATTCGCACAAATAGCCAGCCCAAGGTAACAGAAGATATATACAACTTTTTGAAAGATGTAATTAATTTTTCTTGAGTAGAATTGCTATTATAGTTCAAATAAAAATTCCAAACTATGCCTCCACCTCATATAGACAAGAATGATTCTGTTAGCCTGCTTGACACAAGAAGCATTGTTTCAAAGCACCTAAGTAGACTTTGTTGTTCATCTTCTATCTGCAAAAGTGAAACATATGATAGTGTTCCCAAAACATAGTACTCACTAGATGCCTTGACTTGCAAGTGAGCTCAGAAGCAATAATAGTAGAATAATTCACTCATCTACCCCCATTATCATGTATAGAAGGGTAATTCAATAACTATGGATGTTTGTAGGCATAGAAATAGGACTGTAAACAGCACTAAATATGTAACAAATAAACATTTAGATAATGTTTTGACAATATAATTCTAATAAAGTATTTACATTCATTTAACCGAATTGGTTGCATCCTAAGTTATATGCTAATCATTCAGCATGAAAAGTAGATATAGTAGGATCATTACCTGAATGTTTCTGAAAGGCAAGTAGAATCATCTAGGAATAACTGTTGAACAACTGTCTCAATCAAACCACTTTTAGAAACAATTCTTCTGCCTAGGTCATCATGACAGGCTAGATTTCCAATGATCCCCAGGCAAATTTCCTGCAGAATGGAGATCAACAAGATATGTATTAGTAAAAAACAAGGACTTTCAAAGAAGAAAAATGCTTCAATGCTCCTCAAGAAAAATCGATCTACTCAGCCATAGCTAATCTTCTATTTTGTATTGTTTTGTGGAACCGACCGAGTACTCATTCAAAATCATGATACCAATTCTGTATAAAGAAAGATCCAACTTACTCTTTAACTAACCACCTCATCCACCCCTGCTTCAGTGCTTCATGAAGGATAACTAGTAAAGCGTTGAATTTCATGTTCAGAAACCTTATAAATAGCATACATGTAAATTCGAAAATAAGGACACACATTTATACTATATCCATCTATAGTTGAATTCAGTCTCAATCAAGTGAAGTGCTCAACTCATCAAAATGTGTTGTTTCGTCAAGAACTTTCATGGAAAACTCTTAACATTATGCTAGCCTATATTATTTGCAGTGTATATATAGAGTTGTTCTTTTCCAGATATCCAGGTATCTTCAAGACCACCATTATTGAGTATTTAGAGTTTTTATGAATATTTTCTAATGATATAAACTCTAAAACAACAAACAATTAAAAGCATGGGAAGTATAAGCTGAAACACGAGTACCATATTGTGTTGTCTCCATAATATGCAGCACAACTTTGAAACCTTAAACCTTACATAACATAATGCACTGCATGAGTTCATTGATTCTATATTTTGCTTCATATTTCACATTCATGGTCTTTCAGGTTGTTCAAAAGTATCCACAGGTTAAGTTCCTAGCATGAATAAGGGCTTTCCTATCAGGGAGTATAAACAATGTCTCTGAGCAACTGAAAGACCCATAAATCCTAAAGCCATGTACCATACCATCAACATCAAAATAAACCTGAGCTCTATAAGCTGACTCATGCCCTTCACTTAATTTTCAGCTATTCACGTTACAATTTCTAACCTCCAATAATGAGATGAAAAATATTCATTTATCATTTTCCGACATAAATCCTACTAGCTTGAAATTCAATGTGCCACTCATCAAATTGTTGATTTCAAGTTTTAACTTGCAGTTTGGTTCTATATTTTGTCTCTGTTGCAGTTTTAATCAGTTTCTTTACAAGTTCTGTCACCTTCTAGGATTTGTGATATCCGGAAACCACAAAAGGTGTCACACAAATGAATAGTAGATGGTTCATGCGCCTCTTACAGAACCTAATTTTCCAAGTGTGCCGATGATTATAAATCATCGCAGGACTTCCACTTCAAGAATCCCATTTTAGTTTCACTAATTTCAGTAATAGAAGAGAAAGAAAATATAATCTTAATAGTCTCAGTTAACAGGCTATCCAAATTACAGGACCCTTTGGAAACCACGGACAACATGACAAACATTGTTTTAAGGTTGCATTAACTTTCACTGAGTTTTTGCCCTCTAATGGGAATTGTTAATCCATTGTCCTCATTATAACTAGCTTCAACATAACTAATTCATTTTTGTCTCTTCATGGTAGCATGAAAAAAATTTATATGGAGATAAGAAGGGAACAATGTGTTGATTATTAAAGAAAACAGCCACCAGGTCCAGCATGAATATTTGAAGGAGTTAGGGCCAGAAGAAGAAAGACAGCACATGAATGTACTAAAAAGACAGCACATGAATGTACTGACTAATGCATATACAGAGATGATAGGATGCAATAGAAGCTTACCGTAACCCGGAGAGATCTGGAAACAAGGAGGCTTGCTAACAGCACGTCAAGCAAGAAGTTGTCAACCTGAAAAAGTAATTGCAGATATTATATTTCAAGCATTCGACACTATGTAATGAAAATTTAGTTTCAAAAGGAAAATAAAATTGTAAAAGTGAATGTGAGAACCTAAAATGTCAAATCATCAGTGGAATCAGATGTACAATTACTAAGCGCCGGGTGGGGGGTATTAAAAACTACTGACGTTTCTGAAATTCAATAAACCAAGTAAACAGTGACGCCATTCTTCTGAATTTAGGAGATAGCAAGTAGATATGGTCATTACATGGTTATGTCATGACATACATTTTACATCTGCTCACATTTACATTAGTCATTATATCTACCCGGTGAACTCGGTGACAAGTCATGATGTACCCTGAGTTTTTAAGTCAAATAGTAAGGGTGAGACACTGAGACAGAATGAAGAACTAGTTACTGGAGAGCTTGGTGACAAATCATGATATACCCGGAGTTCTTAAGTCAACTAGTAAGGGTGAGACAGTACGAAGAACTAGTTGCGTTATTTACAGAGAGGGCATCTGTTCGCCAGACACTATTTTCCTGAGTAGGTTTAGTTTATCCTGCTGGCCAATTACCTACAAAAGCACAAGCCTGTACTTAGAGGCTTGCAGACATGGTTCTGACTAGTGACTTCTGAATGTCAAAGACGCTTTCATGCAAAAGATGGAATAGCTCTTAAAAGGATAATTATTGGTTTTGGCTTCATCAAGTTAAGTTTCAAGTTGGCTCATGGCATTCTTTGAATCCTTTTCTGTGATATGTTGGCAAATTCTATCAATTTAAGGAATTCCTTTCCTTAGCAGTCATCCAGAAGTCTGACTTCATTAGCTTTGATTTCTTAAATAAGCTTCACATGGCATGATTGTCTGAGGTTATAGATAGAAAGACATAGCTAGCATAAGAATAAGACAAAGAATGAGTTCTGCATACACAAGTGTAAATGAATCCCACAAAGTCGACGGAACAAAGGAGATAGCAAACGGACATGAAGAATAGTTAAGAGTACCATGAATTCAGCATGACTTTTGTTTGCAGAAAGATCCCATAAAATGCAACCAGAGTCTTCCCAAGGGTCTTTTATTTCAGAATCCCCAGTATGTTCAGGAATACCAGCTCGTTCCTCGTCACCAAATTCTTGGTGTGTTCCATCATCCCCATTCGTAAAAGATGAACCTTTTTTATCAACAGGGAGATGTTGAAAATTCTCTATATAACCTTTAATCATATCTCCATTTGAGCACAGATCCGTATGAGCTTGCATGACCATTGTTTCCTTCACACTACTAGGGCTTTTGCTGACATCCGGTTTCTCCACATCCCTTGGCAAAAGCTGCCTTATCAAAGAAATAATATAGCTAGGATCGACCGTCGTTGATGTCTCATTCTCACACAACTACAACCACAGAAGAAGAGTGCGGAAATTAAAATATCATGTACCTTCCAACTAGTTTCACAATGCAAATACAAAATAGCCTCCTCATACTTCATGATAGTTTAACTTAAACTATACAAAGCAAAAGTCTCGGAGAATTTTAAATACTGACATTGAGTGTTTCAGATAACATGGAAAATTTGCAATGGGCTACAAAGGAGGTTGCATGTATGGGTAGGTAACAAAATGAGCAATAAGTGACGCGAACTGCCCATGGATTGGGCTTGAGTCTACGAGCTTCCATCTGGTACAGAATCTTTTCTTCTAGTATGCTAAACAAAGATGGTACGTTCGTCACTAGCCCCCTTTGATATATTGAAACCGAGAGTCTAAAAATCTTTTTCTCAATTGAAAACATACGGCAACACTACTCTTTCCAATTCTAAAAGATCTCTAAAACTTATTTTGCTTATAAAACCGGCACTAACTACTGATAGCAATTATAATAACCATTTGCTCACTTCAGTCTCTATTATATCCCTCAATTATTTTCCCCCTCGCTATTAAGAAAAATAATACCCTGCCTTTATCTCAAAATCTAGGTGTTTTACATAGGATCTGAGCCTATAACGTATCGCTTCTCAATGAAGGAGATTAGCAAACCCTAATGCTAGGGATTACTGAAAAGCTGTGAGTACCTCGGACAAGGGAGCGAAGGGAAGATGAGAAGGAGCTTCTTCTTCTTCTCCGATGAACGGTATCGGTCGCCATGGAACGGGAATCTGAGCCGGCCAGATGTTGAACAATTTTTGAAAACAGACCCCTTTGCAAATTTATTCCCAAAAAGACCTGTTTCCACTTTATATTTTTAAAAATACGGGCTAGTTAGCCACAGTGCTGAAACTGAGCCGGTTTTTAGAAAAAATGTTCCTAATCTTTACGGGAGTTTAACTCTCATGAAGTCTTTTTATAACAAAACTTCACGGGACTTCAACTCTCATAAAATTTTGTTTTGAAAAAAACTTCATGGGAGTTCAACTCCCGTAAAATTTGGGAACATTTTTCGCAAAAAACGATCCAGTTTCAGCCTGAGACTGAAACTGTGTCGTTTTTTGCGAATATTTTCAAAACAGATCTTTTTTTGGGAATATTTTTGCAAATGGGTGTGTTTTAAAATTTTGCCATGTTCAACCTTTTGGAGCTATTCAGTAATTAGGGTGGATTCCGGCCTGGACGATTTTCTGGCCTATCAGCTGGTCCACACCTGTGCAATTGATCCCGGCCCG